CTGAGATCCGGCCACTGCACTCCAGCCTGGGCGACAGAGCGAGAGGCTGAGGCGGGTGGATCACTTGAGCCCAGGAGTTCGAGACCAGCCTTGACAATATGGTAAAATCCTGACTCTACCAAAAATACAAAAATTAGCCCATCTCATAACCCGGTCTCAAAATAAATAAATAAATAGATTAAAATTTAAAAATAAAATAATTGTTTTTAAAGTACAAATCTTAGCCACACATGGTGGTATGCACCTATAGTCCCAGCTACTCGGGAGTCTCAGGCAGGAGGATGACTTGAGCCCAGGAGTTGGAGGCTGCAGTGAGCTATGATCACACCACTGCACTCCAGCCTGTACAACAGAGCCAGACCCTCTCTCTAGAGAAAAAATAAATCTATCCATACCCTAGGGAACATTGAAATTTGATCCCTCCCTTAAACTCACACGATCAGTAGAAAACTAACGATTTGCTCTCTGGAAAGGATATAGCATGGATTTTGGACTCAGGGTCCTATCAGCCCACTCTCAGTGCTGTCCTGCTGAACACCGGAAATCCAGGACCAAGCCCCACTTACCTGGGCCCTCCCCACAGATCCCCTAAGGCAAGCCCAAGTCCTCTACCACCCTCTCACTGAGAGGCCCCAGGTTCCCCACAGAGCAGGGTTCCCTCTAGCAATGGAGATTACAGGACTGTTCCTGCTAGGCTTTGGCTGGAGGGCGTGGAACTGAAACCAGGTAGTTCCAAGAAAATCCACACAGCAGAGTGAGCTCCCAGCCCTCTCGCCCCCTCTCCTCCCTAGACAGGGTCAGAAGAGTTTCTACTGGGGAAACTGGCTAGACCAGGAGGAAACACCACAGACATCCACATTTGTGGGGTGTGTGTTCAGGCCTCTTCTTAAATATGAACTGACGGCCAAGAATCACCAAACAGACATGATCAGCAGAAAACTAACGATTTGCTCTCTGGAAAGGATATAGCAGGGATTTTGGACTCAGGGACAAAAGCAAGAAAATAGAGCAGATGCAGGAACAGGAGAAAACAAAAAACATTTCAGGCGGGGCATGGTGGCTCACGCCTGTAATCCCAGCACTTTGGGAGGCCAAGGCAAGCAGATCACCTGAAGTCAGGAGTTCGAGACAAGCCTGGCCAACATGGTGAAACCCTGTCTCTACTAAAAAATAAAAATAAAAGGGTCGGGCATGGTGGCCCACGCCTGTAATCCCAGCACTTTGTGAGGCTGAGGCGGGCGGATCACCTGAGATCAGGAGTTTGAGACGAGCCTGGCCAACATAGTGAAACCCCGTCTCTACTAAAAATACAAAAATCAGCCAGGCGTGGTGGTGCACACCTGTAGTCCCAGCTACTTGGGAGGCTGAGGCAGGAGAATTGTTTGAACCTGGGAGGCAGAGGTTGCAGTGAGCCGAGATTGCGCCACTGCACTGCAGCCTGGGTGTCAGAGAAAGATTCTGTCTCCAAAAAATTTTTTTAATTTAATTTAAAAAATTAAAAAATTAGCCACGTGTGGTATCTGGTACCTGTAATTCCAGCTAATTGGGAGGCTGAGGCAGGAGAATCACTTGAACCTAGGAGGTGAAGGTTGCAGTGGGCCAAGATTGTGCCACTGCACTCCAGCCTGGGCAACAAGAGGGAAACTTCATCTCAAAAAAAAAAATAAATAAAAGTTTCAGAAAGATTCAAGAAGTACTGTATTCATGAAATAAGAATAAAGGGTTGGCCGGGCACGTGGCACACCTGTAATCCCAGCACTTTGGGAGGCCGAAGCAGGCCAATTCTTTGAGCCCAGGAGTTTGAGACCAACCTGGGCAACATGGTGAAACTCCCTCGCTATAAAATATAGAAAAATTAGCCTGGCGTGGTAGTGCAAGCCTGTAGTCCCAGCTACTTGGGAAGCTGAGGTGAGAGGACCAGAAGGTTGCATCTGCAGTGAGCTGAGATCACATCACACCACTGCACTCCAGCCAGGGGGACAGAGTGAGACCCTATCTCAAAAACAAAACAAAACAAAGAATACAGACATTTTCAGATGTGCTAAGTCAGGAAACCCTTGGTGAAGGTGTCCACGAAAACAAGGGTATCAAACCAAGAAAGCTGCTGCCGTGGAATCCAGAAACAGAGCACTGGGCAGAAGTGAAGCAGTCCATACTGGAGGGCTCTGGGGCTCTGAGGGAGGGCGCAGAGGAGAAGGTGGACCCCACAGGGTGTCTGGTGTGGAGGACAGTGCTGGGACGAGGTAACAATCAACTCCTAGCAATGGGTATGTTCTAGCAAGCAGCATTCCTGAGGCGAGGGAGTTATAAATTTCAGAAGAAAAGGAAAAATTGTCCAAGGAAGGACATGTGATCCTAATACAGTACATGGCTCAGCTGCCAACAGTACCTGTTGTCATGGTGATTGAAACATTGAATGTTAATTTAGCCAAAAATTCTGGAATAAACCCACTGGGAGAACAAGATGCAGGGAAGCGTGTGGTGGCTGCGAGAGATGCTAGTCGTCATTGGCCAGTGGAAAATGGCTGCTTGATGCTGAGAGGTGGGTGGCTGTTTCTGGGGGTGGAAGCTGGGAACAGGAGGGGTAGGTTAGGGAGTAGCTGTGTGCCATCAGAAGCCCTGGTGATGTTGGACTCTTTGTAAAGTTCCAAGTCGGCCCACAAGGGGCCCAGTGTAATCCCAGGTCATTGCCAATGCCCATCAGGATAAACTGCTGCAGGAAAAACTAGCTCGAAGAAGAAAAATAAAGAAGCCCGATTCCATCTTACTGTGTGTGTGCTTCATTTCCTCCCAAGTTTGTGTCATGAAATTTAAAAACACAGAGAAACCAGCCCAGAACAATGTATGGGCAGCTACATGGCTGCCTGCTGCATGGTTTGAACAGTTAGTGTCTTGCCCTCCTTGGCCATTGCGGCGGTGCACCCTTGGAGTGAGGCTGCAAATGGAAGTGGGACAGTTCTCTAGCTGCTGCACTGCCTGAGACCATGGAGAACTTGGATTCCTGAGCAAAGCGTGGGTCACGCCACTCCACTGCCCGACAGTACAGTGAAGGCCAGAGAATGCCAAGCCCAGCGGGGGGGGTGACCCTCACCTCATCCCCATCATGGGGGTGGTAGTCAAAGCGCAGCGGGGGACAGAAGATGGTAGCGTGCACCTCGAGAACCTTGGCCTTGTCCCCTGGAGGATCCAGGGCCTCCACGGCTTCTTCCAGGCTGCCCAGGCCCTGTACTTGGGAGGCTTGGGTGCGGCTCTCAGCGGCCGTGTAGCTTCGGAGCACCTGCCCCAGGGCCAGGTGGAACCCTGTGTCGCAGCACTGAGGAGGAAACAAGGAGATGCTTGGGTGGGTCCTGGAGCTGTAATTTCCCAGCCCCGGGGCACCAGGCACCTTTTCCCACCTGCCCACCAAGGACTCACATCCATGAGGTCCAAGACGTCATGCAGGTAGTAGTTACTGACAGCGGCGTTGACGCTGGCCAGGCTAAGCAGGTACTCGTTGCGCGCCTTTGTGCACTTGAGTTTGTGCTCCATGAACTTGGCCTGCCGCTACTCAAGACAATGCAAGTGTGCCAGGGTCATGCACGTGGCCAGCCCCTATCTCTGGCCTTTCATGTAATGCCCATCGCCACCCCTCTCGCTGTGGACAACTACACCGGAACTGGTCAAGCCCAGAAGTCCTGCTGCCTTCCCCACACCACAGCCCAATGCCAGGAGGTGACTTGACTCCCCGGCTGTTCACCTGCCAGTGCTGGCGCTGCCTGCTGTGCTTCCGCCACTTGCCTTGGTTCGAGCCACAACATTCCCCACAGAGGTGGGGGGTGACACAGAACTATTCACAGATACCTGATGAGTGGAAGGTGCGTGCGTGGCACCCCACCATGGAGGGTGTACGAGAAACCCAGCTTGGAGCTAGCACACAGGTGCACAGCTGGAAGTGGCCACAGGCCTCTGCAGGGGCCAGGGCTGAGGGGGAGCGAGCGCCGCAAGGGGTAGGGATAGATCATCGAGGGCCATGAGACAGAACCTGGTGGCAACTGGGTTCTAAAGCTGGCACTCTTTTTTTTTTTTTTTTTTTTTGAGACAGAGTTTCACTCTGTCGCCCAGGCTGGAGTACAGTGGCACGATCTTAGATCACTGCAACCTCCGCCTCTAGTGTTCAAGTTATTCTCCTGCCTCAGCCTCCCGAGTAGCTGGGATTACAGGCACCCGCCATCATGCCCGGCTAATTTTTGTATTTTTAGTAGAGACAGGGTTTCACCATGTTGCCAAGTTGGTCTTGAACTCATGACCTCAGGTGATCCACTCACCTCGGCCTCCCAAAGTGCTGGGATTACAGGCGTGAGCCACTGTGCCCGGCTAAAGTTGGCACTTTAACCACAGTAGCCAGGGAGACCTTCCCCCAACACAGCCAAACTCTGTCATTTCCCCTAAGAACACCTGAGATGCCCGACTCCCTCCTCTGCTCCCAGAGTCCCAGAGACAATCACTCTCAGCCCTGCACAGCCTGGCAGCTTCATCTAGGCATTTCCCAACCTCCCCACTCTCTCTACTGGGCTCACCTCAAACGCCCTTTCTCCGTGCGTGTCACCCCATCGCCCACCTTAAGTGTCTTCTCGCCCCTTTCAAACCTTATGGAATGGCTGGCAGAACAGCAGAGCTGCAGGAGCCCTGCTCAGAGCTGGCAGAGGCTGCGTGGGGCTGTCCAGGGCTGGGCGACCATTTTGCCCGCTCTCTCAGGCCCTGGGAGCCTTCCGTATGGAATCCCTGGAACCTGATGGCACTGTCCTGCCACTCCCGCCCTCCCCTGCACCCAGTCCTGGCTTCCCCCTCAGCACAGCAGGTCCTCGTCAGGGCCCATGCCCCATAGGCCTGCATCCGAGGTGCCCCCCAGGCCCACCTTCTCCACTAGCCGCCCTCCCTTCTTGAGGGAGCTCTTGCGGAGGGGCCCTGCCTCAGCGGCAGCAGCAGTGGTGGTGGGGACACTCCGGCCTGCCCGCTTCTCCTCCTGCCGCTCGGCCTCCCGGAGCTTGGCCTCAGCATTCACGCTCTCCATGTGATATGCCTGGTACGTCTTCTTGGCCTGCAAGGAGACCCAAAGCAAGGTAGTGCTGCTGAAGACCACGGCCGGGCCAGCCCCTAACCCTCCATCCCTGCCCCTCTGGAACTTGGACCTCAGAGCTGGGCAATCCCATGTGAGCACTTAGCCTAATGCCTTGTGCTTAGGGAGAGAGGGCCTTTGCCCCTAGGTGCATGCTTCTCCCTGAGCCTGGCTTGGGAGATGTGATGGTCTGGGGATGTTCTTCCCCAGCTGTGAGTGGCATTTCTCCCTGGGCCATTGGGGCAGGCCCCTCCCCGGCCCTTTCCTCACCGTCTGGAGCTCTGAGACCACCTCCAGGAGCTCGTCCTGCAGCTGCTGCTCCAGATCCCTGCTCTAGAGGCAGAGGCAGGGGTGAGCACGGCACTGCCCAGAGAGGCCCCGCCAGGCACTGGAAGCTCTGCCCAGCTCAAGCCCCATCTGGGAGGCACACAGATTCACTCTGCCTGGTCCCCACCTGGCCTCCAGTGCCCTCCCAGCCTCCTGATCCCAAAGCCTTGAACACTTCCCATGGCCCAGGGTGAGAGCCTCACCTTCTTGACCAGGCGCCCCACGTCCTCCGCAATGTGACTCAGGCGCTGGGCCAGGGGCCCGGCCAGCACCTCGCTCAGGGCCGCGCTCTCCCGGCTCTGCTGCCGCGTATGCTGCAGGAGCACTGCCCAGCAGTGCAAGGGCGACAGGAGTGACGGCTCCTTCCTGGGGGTAGAGGGGCAGTGAGACCTGCAAGCAGACCCTGCCGTGGCCCCCCTGCCAGCACATCACCTACCGGAAGCTTTGGTGCTCCCGGCTGCTACCCAGGCGGCCTGCACGGCTGGAGAAGCGCTCGGCCAGCTTTTCCAGGCCCCGGGAGTACTCCAGCTCCACCTCAGCGCGGCGCCGCATGAACTCTGCCAGTTCCTGCAGCAGCTCCCGCCGCAGCTCGCCCTGTAGCTCCAGGCAGCGCAGCTGCTCGCTCAGCTGCCAGCGCATCTCTGTGGGGGGAAGCACAGCTCAGGCCTGGCCAGCGTGCCCTGCCTGGGTCAGCCAGGCCAGCGTGGGGTGGGAGAGGCAGAGACACACACACCCCAGTCCCGTCTGCTCTGAGGGCTCCTTTGGACCCAGCCTAGGTTGAAGGCAGGAACTAACAGGGGAGGAAAGAGGCTAGGCCCCTGCAGGCAGATCTGGCCTCAGCTGTCCGGCCCACCTCTGTGCTGAGGCCAACAGATGGCCCGAGCCACCCGGTTGAGGGGGAAAGAGAAGGGTGTCCCAGAGAGAGGGGAGAGCCGCACAAAGGCCCAGCGTAAGAGGGAGCAAGGCCGCCCCGGGAACGGTGAAGCCATTCACGGTGGGTGGAACACAAGGCTGCCCAACCCTGTCTCACCCCAACGCCAGCCAGGCACCTTTCAGTTTGGCTTCCTGTCTCTCCCTCATTCCTGGAAAGCCACTGAATGGTTTCCCCTGCCACTTCCTTTCCCCCAATACCCAGGCCCCAGGAGGTGGCAGCCTCCCTTGCAAACACACAGATACACAACACACAGATCATAGCTCTGCTCAGGGCAAGCCTGCAGCGACCTCGCAGTCTCAGTGGCTGGGGAACCCTGCCCTCAGGCCCCAGGGGAAAGGACAGTCCACAGTGAGGGCTGGGCACCAAGGAGAGCTGATCCCACCTTGGAAGTGAAAGGATGGGGCAGGGAGCTAGTCCCTGTCTTCTGTCCCCACTTCCCACTCCCAATCATCCCCCACCCCACCTGTGCATTCCCTCACCGTGCAGAAAGAGTCACACCCAGGGCCCCATACCGCCAGCCTTTTGACACCCTATCACTGGCTTGATTTGGCAACACTGCTTCCCCCACACAGGCCTGAAGCAAAGAAGTGCCTGTCCAGCAAGTTTAAGCAACCTGCGGAAGACACTTTTGCCACCTCCTGAGTGCCCAGCCAGGCACTGAGGGTCCCAGGTAAATAAGATGCTAGCTCAGCTTCTGGCCAGTAGGCTGCCCACCTACTCATCTCCATGCACATCCCCAGGGAGGGACAGGAATTGATTTCTTCCTTCAGCAGAATGTTGACGATGCACCCATTCTGTGGCAGGCACGTTTTAAATACAGAGGCAAAGAGGGTTGACCAAGTGTCTGCCCTCTTGGAGCTGGGATTGGAATGGGGCACGGACACATACCAGAATGTCCAGGAGTGATGGGTGCTGAGAAGATGAACACACAAAGCGAGATCAGAGCCGGGGGTGGGTGGGGACAGGGAGGATATCTTTTTAAAGGAGGGTGGTCAAGAACAAGCTGCATCGTTGGAGCAGAAGGCTGCAGCTGGCTGTGTGGGGGCAGTAGGGGGAGTCCGAGAGACCGGTAGGGACAGATGGCACAGAGCCCGTGGTCTAGGCAGAACTCCCAGCTGGACTTGAGTGAGAGAGGACCCACAGTAGTGGGGGAATGTGGTCCAGCTTCATTTTCAGGGCCCACTCACACTGCCAGGTGGAGCCCAGGTGGCCGCTACTGCACTAGTCCAGGCAAAAGACGGCAGGGATTCAGACCAGGACAAGCGAGGGAGGACTCCCCTGGGAAGAGCTCAATCCGGTTGGATTTCTGTCCCACCAGTGACTTCCCAGGGCCTGTTGCATGGGGACCCTGTGGGTTTGGCCTGCCCAGCATCCTTACCTCCTCCCCGATCTCCTCTTGCAGAATGTCCCCTCCCTAGTCTCAGCTCCCCTGACTCCAGGTGCCCCAGCCCTGGCTGCATGCGTCACCCACCCTTCCGTCCCTCCACTCCCTGCCCCCACCAGACTAGCCAGGTGAGAGACCCAGGAGCCTGATCCTTCCAATTGAATTACTGAACAGGAGAGCTCTTCCCACTGGGGGATCAAGCTGGGTAAGTGGAAGCCTGGGGCGGGGGACCTCCCGACAGGGCAGGGCAGAGCCCACAATGCCAAGTGAGACAGATGGAGAGTGTCCTCATCCTATCTGAGGCTGGCCTCCTGTGGTTAACTTGTCAGCTCCAAGGCCAGGTGGGGTGGGCGCTAATGCCATTTGAAATCAGGAAAGTCCTCACTGAATCAGTTTAACGTTTTGTTTTGTTTATTTTGTTTTGAGACGGAGGATATTGCCCAGGCTGGAGTACAGTGGCGCAATCTCGGCTCCCTGAAACCTCCGCCTCCCGGGTTCAAGCGATTCTCCCACCTCAGCCTCCTGAGTAGCTGAGACTACAGGCATGCACCACCACACCCAGCTAATTTTTGTATTTTAGCAGAGACAGGGTTTCACCACGTTGGCCAGACTGGGTCTCAAACTCCTGACCTCAGGTGATCCGCCCGCCTCGGCCTCCCAAAGTGCTGGGATTACAGGCGTGAGCCACCACGCCCAGCCCGGTTTAACATTTTTTGATAGAAGTAAATTTCATTTCATTCCAAGAAACGTGCGACTGCTCGCCTCACTGGCCCTCTGGAGCCTGTCTTGCCCTGCTTCCCCCAGAGGAATACAATCTCTGGGGACTTATGACAACTGAACAGTGCAGAAGGAACCAGCAGAGGGAACCGCTGCCTTTCTTCATCACTGCCGGCAGTAAAAGCTGACTGGAAGCCATGTCCCAGTCCAGATCCGGGCATGCACACCCGGCTGGTGTTGAGCAGGAAACTTGTGAATTGCAAGTTGATTGCACTGGTGGCTTTCCTGGCAGAGCTTTCAGATCTCAGTTCAGACAAACTCGTCAGCACACCCTGTCCTGGCCTCCCCCCAAACTAGGGCTGGCCCTCTTCCGACCCCTTCTTGGCACACTGCACTTTCCCTCTGTGGTGCTTATTATCATAATGGAAAGTCTATGTCTCCCCCACTAGACCCATGAGCCATGTGAGGGCAGGGTGGGCGCTGACGCCATTTGAAATCAGGAGAGTCCTCATTGAATCATTGTTTTTACTCTGGGTAAAAAGCCAGGGCTGGAGGGGCTGGAGTCGGGGTTCTCTCCTGTACAGCAGTATACTTCCAGGGCCTGGGATAGCAGAGATGTATAGGAAACATCTGGCAAAAGGAGAGCTGGAATCCATGTCTGCCTGAATTACAGAGCTGGGCCCAGGGCCCCACCAGCACTTCCTGTGAGCAAGGCATTTGGTCTCACTTCTGCTGACAAGCAAAACAGAAGAGAAGATGGTCTCCAAAACCACGGCTATGCTGACCTTTGAGAATTTAGGGTGTCAAGACAGTGGCCCCGTTTTGTAGCATGGTAGGAAGTTTTTCTAGGGTGTGGGATGCAGACCCAGAGCAAGTGAGGAACCCTTAGATAGTCTTGCTCGAAACCCCAACTTTTCAGTGTGAAATCACTGACCCATATTTGCTGATTGAAGTTTTCCAAGTCTTTGAGCTTCATGGCATTTTGGGGAAGCAGGATGGAGATGATTACTTCCATCTGAGCAAGATGATGGTGAGGCTTGGAAAGCTGGTTCACCCTGTGCAGTCACCTCAAGCTGGTTCTGGACACAGGCTGCCTTTTCCAAAGGAGGAGGACTGGGGCATACTTTAAAGGGTATAAATTGCTTGCACTGAATAATGATGTTAGAACCTACATCTCTGGGTTGAAAGGCACTTCAAGGGTTATTGCATTCTACGTCCTAGAAGTTGTAGTGCTGTGTTACCACGGGCAAGTCACTGCACCTCTCTGAGCTTGTTTCCGTAACTGGTAAAATGGAGTGACTGAGAGTGATATGGAGGAGCTGCTGGCGCTGGGATGCTGCCTCTTTCCTTTGCAAGAGTTACCATGCCCTGAATAAGATGGGCACAAGCTATTGGCTAAGAATTTGCAAAGCTGATTTGCATGTGATTTGCACATGGGTGTTTATCAGAACCCAAAGAGGTTCAATTTCAGAAGGCTGAGAAGCCAGCCCTGTTAAATCTCTCAACCAAGACTCACTGCGCCAGCTTGACCCAGAGACAGTGGCCCTTGCCTCTGATCCCCCTCAGTGCTAAAGGGGGGCAAAAGGTGTTGCGGCTCCAGGGACTACACTGGGGTTAGGGCCAGGTGATCTCCACCAAACCACTCACCCAGACTCCCTTACTCACCCCCCACCCCCTAGCCCAATCAAGGTGGTTGACTTCACTGTAGCTAAAATACCGCCTTCTGGGGGGCACGTTGGTACATCCGGCTCCCCTTTACCGGCGGCCACCAGTGTCTACACTGAACCTTGGGTGAGGAGCAGAGACCCAAGGAGGACAGAGACCAAAAGAAGGAAGACAGGAAAGAAGGAAGGGAAGATGGCAGGCGGTTGAGGCCAAATGGGCGTGGGGAGGCAGGCAAGGGGCTCAGGCTCCCTCCTCCACCCCCACTCCAGAGGTCGCTGGGGAGAGCATCTGGCCCTGGGTCAGCGCGGGGACGCTTGGGGCTCCCTCACGACCTTGGGGTCTCCGCAGGAAACGGGCCGGGAGCGCCCGGCGCCCTCTCACCTTTGACTTGCGTCTCATACTCAGCCTGCAGCCCCCGCTCCCGCCGCAGCTTCCCGTGAGCGGCCATGGCGGCCTAGCGGCCGCGCCGTCGAACCCCACTGCTCCCACGCGGCCGTGAGCGGGCCCGGCGCCGGGACTTGGGGGCGCTGCGGCCAGCACCCTGCGCGGGCTCCGCCCAGCCCCGCCCCCAGCGCGGCTCCCGGTGGGGCGGGGCGGCCCAGGGCTGGCACTGCCCGCGAGGGGCTCCTGGGGGCAGGGCGCCCCTTCCAGCCCCACTGTGCCCCGGTCTTGCCGTCTCCTCCCACTGGGCCTGCACCTAGACTGCCTTGTGCCCAAAGCCTCGCTGCCAAGCAGCCGGAGCGGGCATGAGAGCCCCAACATAAGCTGGCATCCCAGGCTGCCATCCCCCCACCTCCAGAAGGCTGTCCCTGGTCACCACTGCCAGACTTCACAGTTCACAGCGGGGCCGCTGGCCCACAGTACCAGTGGACATGAACACCATTGCTGCCCCAGGCTCTGGACTCCCTCTGGGTGGCCTGTTTCCCCCAGACATCGGATGGGGTCCTCCCTTCCCAAGTCAGCCCCCAGAGAGGTCCAAGGAGCCTTGAGAGCTGGGGTGGGAAGTTCAGAGGGGAGGGGGAAGGAAGGTCAGCACCAGAGAGCAGAACCTCAGCAGCTGGCTGCCATTCCCTCCAGGCCCCCTTGGTAGGGGAGGAGAGTTCAGCTCCGGTTCCCCTTCTGCTCAGCCCCACGATTTCCCCATAGGCGGTTGCCACTTCCTGCTGCCGGAAGAGACTGCTCTGCCTCCCTTCCCCTGCAGCTGCACCTGCCCTTCATAGGCCTAAGGGGGGCAGCCCCCTCGGAGTGAGATCTTAGCTACCCTGGGGGCAAGTCTTGGGGCCTCCCTCATCCAGGGGTGGTGGGGCTTTCCTCCACTCTCTACCACAGGGCAGCAGCTTTTCTCCGGGAAATCGGGAAGGCAGGAGGCAGGAGGCGGTTGACAAGTCAAGCAGACAACTTACTTCAATTTGGTGGGAGGGAAATCCCTGGGGTATAGATGTGGGGAGAGGGGCAAGGCACTTGGGCACCAGGCGTCTGTTCCGAAGGCGGGCCTGCGGGCACTAGTGCAGGGGTACTAGGCGTGTGTTTGCACGCATGTCAGAGTAAGGCTCTGTGCAAATGTGGGCACATATGACCCTGACCTGCAGATCTGGGGAGGAGAGGCTGTGCGGGTACTTCCTGCCTTTCAACTATGAGCAATTAATTCTCTTGCCCAGAAGGAAAAAAACACTCCCTCAGCTCCCCGCCCCCTTCTCCCAGTACCAAGGCCCTTCTCGAACACGTCGTCGAGTGTGTCTGCAGGACCTGGGGCTTCAAGGCCTGGGAGCTAGCCAGACCCAGGCAGGCCCAGGACCTGGACTTCCAGCAGCTGCCCTCGGAAGTACCGATGTTCGAGTTCTCCAGCGAGACTACAGAGCCTGCGCCCCTGCCCACAGCCGCACCCACACTCCAACCTGCTCCTGGTTGGGAGACTCCCACGTCCCACCTCTGCCTCAGGCCAAGGGGAAGCAGGGACTCCCGCCCCTCACTAGTTGGCCCCAACACACCCTGCCCCTCCATCCGAGCCCCGACTGGTCCCCAAAGATCCCTCCACCCAGCAGAGCCAGACACAGGGCTCAGGCAGGCAGGAAAGGCCTCAGTCCGTGCCTTCAAACGCTCCCTTCGCTCCTTTTTTTCACTCCAGAGCTATTCCTAGGATGCCCCATTCAGCCCGTGCTTTAGAGCCTGAGTGTTTGGCCCAGGCTTTTAGGGCACTTGTTTGGCATTTAAAGCCCTGAACGCAACTGCCCCCTGCTGCTCGCTCTATCCTTCGCTCCATTGTTCCCCTTCAAAGCATTCAAAAGCCAGGCAGCCCGCAGAAGGCGGGGACCTGTCCGCATGGGGACGGAGGGAGCGGCCGACAGGCATCGGGCCCGCCAGGGACGGATGGCAGAGGGCGGGCCGGGTCCAGCGGGCCGGGCAGGGGCGGAAGGAGGGCGCCACGGACGCCGTGGGAGCTTGGGCCAGCTCCCTTCCACCGGCGCCGGGGCGCGGCCGAAGCAGTGCGCAAGCCCGCCCTTCCCCCGCACCCCACGCGCAGAACCCAGAGCCGCCGGACCAATCAGAGCCTGGGAACGAAGCTTGCCGCGGGCTTGCGAACCGGAAGACACTGACGCCAGGCGCGGGGCGGGCCAGAGCTCCGCCTCCGGCCCATACAAAGGGAAGCCCACGTCTTAAGCCAATCAGAACACAGCCTCGCCCGAGCCGGGAACCCGAGAGCTGCGGGCGTGCGCAGACGCGCCTTTCCGGCCCCCGGCCCCGGCCCCGCCCTGCCGGTCTCCGCTTCCACAGCAGCTGGCTGCCTGCTGGTCACGTGCCAGGCGCCAGCCAAAGAGAACCGAGCTCCAGGTCTGTTTGGCGAATTTTCAACCTGGCGGAGGAGCAGTGCCACCTGCAGTAGCAGAGTACACAGAGGGCTCAGGAATACAGGGCCCGCCCAGGGACTAGGAACAGCAAGCGATGGCTTTACAGCCGGAGGGAAGGGAAGGGAGGAGACACAGGAGAGAGCGTTACAGTTAGGGTGACTCCATGAAAAACAGGATTTTGATGTGTATTTTATTTATTTATTTATTTATTTATTTAGAGACGGGTCTCTGTCCCTGGAGTGTGGTGGCGTGATCAGGGCTCACAGCAACCTCCACCTCCCGGGCTCAAGCAATCCTCCTGCTTCAGCCTCCTGAGTAGCTGGGATTACAGGCATGCACCACCACACCCGGTTTTCTATTTTTAGTAGAGATGGGGTTTCGCCATGCTGCCCAGGCTGGTCTCCAACTCCTGAGCTAAAGTGATCCGCCCACCTCGGCCTCCCAAAGTGCTGTGATTACAGGCATGAGCCACCGCACCCAACAGCCGCCCAGTTTTGTATTCTGCATGAAATTATTTTGAGGGAATACATGGCTTTATGTATTTGTGTAACCCCATAGAAACTGTACAATACAGACAGGAAACCTAATGTAAACCATGGGCTAGTTTACAATAACTTATCAGTATTAGCTCATCAACAATAACAAATACACCAACTAATACAAAATGTCAATAGGGGAAACGGGGGGGATTGTACTAAAAATAAATTATTTCAAATGCAAACTCAGGGAGTAGACTCAAGAGGTATCATGGACTCGCTGACCATTAGGGTGGCAGGGAAGGGAGGACTCAAGGACCGTTGACAGGGCGTCTGGCTGGGTCATTACTCAGGACAGCTGTAGATAAGCCCAATGAGCAGTCAGATGTCCACATCTGGAGCCCACGGGTATGCCGCAGAGCTGTTGTAGCCCAAAGCAGGTGTGATTAGGGAGAGAAAAGGTCTGAAGGTGAAGATGGGAGGAGAACTGAAGGCCACCAAGAGTGGGAGCCCTGCTGTTGAGCTTTGAGCCTAAGCGGCCCAGGCTTGTGCCACAAAACACATTCAGCGTAGCCAAGCAGACCTCCAAGGCAGGGTCTCTCCCTAAGCCCAGGGCCTCCTTCCCAGGGCCACAGCTGCTGAAGGCCATGAGACTGGGGAGTCCCACCTCCAAAGCTCTTCCCTTCTATTCGGACTGGCAGGATGCTCTGGGTCAAAAGGCTGAGGCTCACCTCCCCACCAGAGGACCTGGAGAAACACACCCTCTAAATGTGCACACGCACACACACGAAGTTCCCCAGTGCCACGGAGCGAATTTATTGTGAAAGCTCGTGGGGTGAGGAAGGGATGGGGCAGGCTCTAGGAGGCCGAGTCGGAGGCCTCTGAGCTGTCCTTGACATCTGTGCTCTCTGTGGTCTCGCTGACCTCGCTGAGGTCCTTGCTGTCCCCACCACTATCCTCGGCAGCCAGGCCCTTCTCCTCGCGACAGGCCTCTCCTGAGCTCGGAGGTGAATTGCCTTTGCTCTCCACCTTGTTCTCGATGGCACCCAGCACCACGTGCCTGCCCTTCTCCTTCAGCTCCAGGTGCCGCCTCAGCTGCCACCAGGAACCCAGGGAGAAGCAGGAGGTAAAGAGATGGGGCCTAAGTTTCCAGACAAAGGGAGCCTGGCCCTGTCGCTGGCTGAGGAGAGGGGCATAGTGAGGCAGCAGGGCTAGGCAGGACACGTGGGACTGAGTGTGGACACCTGGCTGGAGCCCCAGTCCACTGCTACCTGGGCTCACTGACTACCATGGAGACCCCCACGACACAGCGTTGCCCCTTGACCAGCCCTGCCACCCAAGGAGCCTGGGGCAGAACCCTGACTCAGAACTACCTCTGAGCAGGCAGGCCACCCACTGGTCCCCAGGCCTCCCCACTTCCCTTCTAAAAGCCTCCTCCCTCTGCCTCTCCCATCACCCTCCAGGCTGCTAGGCAGACGGCCTCCTCTAAAGCCCAACCTAGGAAACTGAGGTTGTGACTCCTGGCAACGTAGCCACAAGGGCTGGCATTCAAAGTTGGTCGCACCTCCAGCCACTGTCTCGGGGCTCCCCAATGCCACCCCCGCTTGCCTGGCTTGGCTTCATGCAGGTTCTTACCTCGTCGGCCATCTGAGTGAGGTCTCGCTTCATGGCATAGGCATCCTCCCCATCTGCATAGTATTTGGGCTCCACTTCACTGATCCTGGGGGCAGAGGGTAGAGAGCAAGGAGGAAGACCCATACCTGGGGGACACCCTCCTCCACTCCTGGTATCATGGCTACTGGAGCAAGATGCCATGTTTTCTCCCTGAAGGCTCCTTCCTGAGACAGCAAGTCCAGTGTGACCTGCCCTCTGTTCTCTCCAGCAAAGGCTCCAGGAAACAGCGGCCCACCCCACCCCTGTCCTGCCCCCGTTCTGTGTCCTTAGCCTGGCTACTAAGGATTCATTTCTGTGGTTTCTTGTGAGCTGAAGTCCTGAATTCAGCCTTCCCCTTCCCTCCCTGCCCTGTGTCCTGTCCCTTACTGAGCTGCCTCACAACAGCCGTCAGAAGCCAGGAGAGACAGTGAGCTCTGTTGAGGGGAGTCATCCCTAGGCAGCACGGGCCCTGCCTAAGCAGCTCAGGGGCCATGCCTGCACTGGGGAGGCATGTGTGCAGACTCGGGTGGCCATGTCCCTGGAAGGGGAGCTGGACTCAACGGCCTAGGCTGGCCCTGCCAGGCCTAAGACATGAGGATTGTTGACTTAGCTATAAAGCAGTTCCCACCAGACATCCTCATCTGGGTCACAGATCCCTCTTGCCAGCATCCAGCCCAGAGGCCACTGCCCTTCCCAACAGTCCCTCCTCTTCACCCCTACCAAACAGGGCCTGACTGCAGTTAGTGTTCCTCCACGGGCAGCCCACCCCAGCTTCACTTGCAAGCACTTTTTTCCACTGTCTACTGGGCACGCTGACTGCCAGGTTCTCTCTCCTGTGCTAGGCACACGGGGCCTCCCGGTCCTCAGGCAGACCTGCCCCATCCACTAGGCTGCCTGGCCGCCGGTCCTTCCTTCCTGAACGTGCATTCTCCTTGATTCTGCTCTCTCTTGGATTCTTCCAGGTGCTTGGCCATGCTATGATCTGCTCACGCCAGGGACCCACACCTCTTTATTCCCAAACATTACTAAACAGCCCGTGTGCCCTTCACCAGCCTCTGCCAGCATGGGCCAGAGCTCCTCCATCACAACACACATAGAGCACGTTCCAGCAGGCAGGTGCTGCCTCCATGCCGGCTTTTCAACCATCAGCCACCGAGTGAATGTGGAGGCATCCTGGCAGCACTGGGGTCCACAGCGTCCTCCCCATATCCGGCCCACCCCTAGCCTGGAAGGCAACTCAGCCAGTCTCAGGTGCCCTGATGGGCCAGACCTGGGGCCAACCCCAGCCCACGAGAAAACTCGAGATCTACTTACTGAAAGTTGAGGGTGTTGGAATAGAGGTGCAGGGCGGCCCGGTTACTGCAGGGGAACAAGGCACTGCTGAGCTGCACAGACATGGCCAGGGAGGGGTAGCACGTCCAGTGCCTGCCCCTCCTCTTGGTCCCTCCTTCACCCCAATCCCACTTCCTGGATCTTCACCAAAAGCCGAGGTACCCCAGGACCCCCATCAAGGCAGTATCTCTCCCCCTCAATCCCCCTTCCCTCAGCCCGGCTTCCACCTCTTCCTGACGTGCAGGGAGACGTATTTGGCATTGAAGTTCTCTATCATGGCTCGAGAGGCCTGGTCCATCAGTTTCTGAGCCAGACCAAGGCGCCGGTGGGAACGCTTCACAGCCTGGTAGGAGAAGAGCAGAGAGCGGGTGAAGGACTGGGACCTTGGGGGCTGCCTCAACTAACCCCACTTCCACCCCCACCAGAGAGCCTGGGTGAAGCTTACATACCAATGAAGTGATATGTCCATGGGGTACATCATCTGGGTCCTCTTCCCTGGAGAGGGAGAAAGCAGAGGCTGCAAAGCAGCTCAGTGTAGGCACAGTCACCCCCACGCCCCGTCATCTGTAAAGTGGATATGCAAATTCTAGGCTGGCCCTACAGCCCCCTAAGACCCCAGCTGGGGGAGAGCCAGGAGCCTCTTGGATCAGAGCAGCCGATCCTGCCACCCTCTACTGCCTGAAAACCCCATGCCTGCCAGGTATGGGGCACACGCCTATAGTTCCAGCTACTCGGCAGGCCGGGTCAAGAGGATTGCTTGAGCCCAGGAGTTCGAGACCAGCCTGGACAACACTTTTTTTGTCTCTACAAAAAAAAAAAAAAAATCAAAAAATTAGCTGGGTGTGGTGGCGCATGCCTGTGGTCTCAGCTACTTGGGAGGCAGAGGTGAGAGGATCACTTGAGCCTGGGAGGTTGAGGCTGCAGTGAGCCATGATCATGCCACTGCACTCCAGCCTGGGCAACAGAGCAAGACCCTATCTCAAAAAATAAAAATAAAAAAAGAAATGAGCTGTCAACCCACGCAAAGACAAGGCAGAAGCTTAAATGTGCACTACTAAGTGAAAAAAACCCAGTCTGAAAAGGCTGTATACAGTATGATTCCAATTCTATGACATCCTGGAAAAGGCAAAAACTATGCAGACAGTAAAAAATCAGTGGTTGCCAGGGGTTAAGGAGAGGAAGGGATAAATGCGTGGAACACAGTGAAACTATCCTGTGATAATATAAAGGTGGACACATATCATTTGGTCAAAACCATGGGGCTTACAACACAAAGAGAAGTGCAGGGGGGTTTAGTTAATATTAATATATCGGCTGGGTGCAGTAGCTAACGCCTGTGATCCTAGCACTTTGGGAGGCCGAGGTGGGTGGAACACCTGAGGTCAGGAGTTCGAGACCAGCCTGGCCAACATAGTGAAACCCCATCTCTACTAAAAAAATTAAAAAATTAGCCAGGTGTGGTGTCACATGCCTGTAATCCCAACTACTAGGAAGGCTGAGGCAGGAGAATCACTTGAACCCAGGAGGTGGAGCTTGCAGTGAGCCAAGATCACGCCACTGCACTCCAGCCTGGGCAACAGAGCAAGACTCTGTCTCAAAAAAAAAAAAAAATAATAATAATAATAGTAATATATCACATTAGTTTATCACTTGTCACAAGTGGACCACACAAATCCAACATGCTACTAATAGAGGAAACTGGCAGGGAGGGAATGCTGAGGGGTTCTATGGAACTCCATGTCCTTTCTGTTCAATTTTTCTATAAACTTTCAACTGTACTG